ACAGGTCCCGTGACAAGGTCCTGCGTCGAACTGAGCGCGTGGTATATGGCCGGTCCGCTTCCAGCGTTGCCAGGTCTGCCTGCGATGGGCTGTCCCTTCTCGCTTTGGCAGTTGTCTGAAGTTCTTGCCGCGTGGTGGGGGGTGTAGCGTCCTGCCGCTGTTCAGCAGCGTCGACAATCGCATCCCATTGGCTAGCGGCGATAATGAGGGAATCGTGTTGAGGTGCGACCGCTGGCTGGGATTCCCGCTGGATGATGCCAACGATCGCATCCTGCCGCTGCCCAGCGGCAGCAGCGGGTGCGGCCCGTCGGCCCACAGCGGTGTCGCCTGCCTCTTGCTGAGCTGGGGCAGCTGGCAGGGGCACCCGCTGAATGGTGTGAACGATCGCATCCTGCCGCTGCCCAACGGCAGCAGCGGATGCGGCCCGTCGACCCACAGCGGTGTCGCCTGCCTCTTGTTGAGTTGGGGCAGCTGGATTGGGCTCCCGCTGAATGGTGTGGACGATCGCATCCTGCCGCTGCCCATCGGCAGCAGCGGGTGCGGCCCGTCGGCCAACAGCGGTAGCGCCTGCCTCTTGCTGAGCTGTGTCCGCTGGCAGGGGCACCCGCTGAATGGTGTGAACGATCGCATCCTGCCGCTGCCCAACAGCAGCAGCGGATGCGGCCCGTCGACCCACAGTGGTGTCGCCTGCCTCTTGTTGAGTTGGGGCAGCTGGATTGGGCTCCCGCTGAATGGATTCAACGGTGGCATCCTGCCGCTGCCCATCGGCAGCAGCGGGTGCGACCCGTCGGCCAACAGCGGTAGCGCCTGCCTCTTGCTGAGCTGTGTCCGCTGGCAGGGGCACCCGCTGAATGGTGTGAACGATCGCATCCTGCCGCTGCCCAACGGCAGCAGCGGATGCGGCCCGTCGACCCACAGCGGTGTCGCCTGCCTCTTGCTGAGCTGTGTCCGCTGGATTGGGCTCCCGCTGAATGGATTCAACGATCGCATCCTGCCGCTGCCCATCGGCAGCAGCGGATGCGGCCCGTCGAGCCAACAGCGGTAGCGCCTGCCTC